AGACAAGTAAACAGACCCTCCCACACAGCCTTCAGAAAGGAACACAGTCCTGCTGGCACCTTGATTTCAGCCTAGGGCGCTCCCTTTTGGATTTCTGGCTTCCAAAAATATAAAGGTAAAAGTATGTTATTGTTTTAAGCTATTAAGTTTTTGATAATTTTTTAATAGCAGCCATAGAAAATGAATACGAGATTTTTATATAGTCTTAATTTATTCATTTTAACTGTGATGTAGAATTCCACTGTATGTGTTGCCTAGTCTCAAAATTTTATTTGGGAGATTCAATCATGGTGCTGCATATACTTGTAGTTTGTATAGTTTCATTAGTTTTATATTGAATACTCATACCACATTTCATTTCTCTTCTGTTGATGGACATTTACGTTGTTTTCAGTTTTTCTGCTGTTATAAACCATGTTGCTATGAATATATTTGAATTTTTTTCCTTATGCATATGGGCAAGAGTTTTCCTATAGGGAGGTGGGCAGGCAACCCTCAGGGATAATGAGTGTAATGCGCAGTCAGGGTTTTCACTTAAGGGGAGTGGAACTGCTGGACCGCAGGACTGTGCATCATTAACTTTACTGCATGTGCTAAACCGCTCTCCAACGTGGTCGTACCCATTTCAACTCTTCCAGCAGAGCCTGAAGGTGCCCAAATTTGACTAGATTTTTGCCAATATGATGAATCTAAACTGGCATCTCCTTTTTATTTCTATTTGCATTTCCCTGATTACTAGCAAGGATGAACATGTTTACATGTGTTTATCGGCTGTTGGTCCTTCCCCTTCCTTGAATTGTCTGAGTAGTGAAACAATGCAGGAGACACACTCGCTTGTACAGGATGTGTGCCCATGAGCGTGTAACTGGATCCCCATGGGCTTTGATGGTTGTTTAAGCAGGACATATTCGACTTCCATAACGTTAAAGTACACAAGGAACTAATGCATGCATTACATTTGATAAAAATTAAGTAATCACATTTATCTTTTCACATTAAGAATAATTTAAGAACTATTCGAGTTCTGAGAAACTTGAATACTGCTCTTTTGACAAAAATGTCCTACTTTGGGGGCTTCTGATCGTGCAATCAAACTTGAATAACGCAGACCCATCTTTCATTAAATAATGAACACATTCTGGATTCTAATCAGTTCATTTAAAAAGAATGAAAAGCTCCTAACAATGGATGTTGACTTGATTCTTACATTTTGTCAAGGAGAGACTTAACAAAAAAATCATGCCTGGGCGGTGGTAGCTGGGTGCTCTGTTCAATGGTTCTAAAATGCAGTATGGGAGACAAACGCTCACTCAGAAAGTCTCTCCATCCAAAATTCAATAGCATTGTTTTTCCTGGTTCCATACAATCCTCCTGTCCTCGGTTGAGAAGTACCAGAAGCAAACTCAGGAAACCATGGGTTTCACAGCTCCCTCTTCTGGACAAAGCGGAAATCGCACCATGAATGCCATCCATCTTCCACAGCTTATTATAATGAAAATTTTGTTTTTGTATTTCTACTTTATAACCCAAATCTATAAAAATATATATGTAAAAATTTCAAAGTGATATAAAGGGTGGGCAAAAGCAGGCTTACAGTTTGTGTGGAAAATACAATTAATAAATAATGATACAAGTACAAGCAATTGTGGATGTACTTTTGCCCCACCCTGCATTTTGTGTATCTACCTACTGTCTCCCATCCATCTGTTACAGACAGAACTATATAGGTAAGCACTTGATAGAGAATTTGGGTTGTTTTCTTTCTCTCTTTTCTCCTAAGTCTGTGTGACAACAAAGCATTTTAAAACGTTATCAACTGGTAATTTATTCTTGATGATGTCTTTTCCTTATATACCGAGTATTCTCTGTTTTAATGCTGTCAATGTAAGAAACATCCAAACCTGCACAGAATTTTTGTAAGAATTTACTCGAGGCAGAGGGTGCACCTGGAAGCAAGATCTCAACAAACTGAGGAGAAGGCTTCCTAGAATGACCATTTCACATTTACTGAGATTAAGGACTGAGAGCAAATAGGTTTTTACGTGTGTGTTTTGGAAGAGAAAGATAACAAACACAGGTCTAGTTATATAGCTTAACATGCATGACAGATATCCAAGTAGAGCTTGAAGAGTCATTTTAGGACCAGTGACCCATAGTCAGATGCCAAACGACTCGAAGCAGAGCGGGACTCTAATTCCCTCTGAGGGTACTGAGGAGCTACCACCCCAGTGAACTGATTTTCAGGGATCCTTCCTGTGATGAATTCACTCCGATGGAAGGAGAGGACTGACACCCTTTGCCTGCAGTCAGTGGTTCTGTAGCTCTAGAGGCAGTGAACTTGCCAGCCTAGCACCCCAGGAGCCTCAGTCTCCTGAACTGGTGTGCCTGGAGGGTCTCAGGCTCAGCCGATTTTAGAGGGGGAAAAATGCTGCCCCTGTGTCCCTTTGCTGCTACTGAAAGATGCCACTAAATCTATATATCCTTTAAATTCAACTCAAGACAAGTCTGGAAGCTTTACTCTGGGACAAACAGATTTTTCTATGAATTCCCATAGACCTTTGTAAACACATTTATTGGAATTCTTAGCACAAATATTCTAATTATTTATATAGTTCTCTCTGCTACCAGGACAGAACTTTTTTTTTTTAATTTACATTTCAATTTTTATTTTTAACATTTAGGCAAGTTCCTGGTACATAGTGTATGTTACAAAATATCGGTATTTAATGTATAAATGCAACTCTGCTGCCTGGTTACTTCCTGAGCTGGAAAATTATCTGGTGTTGATAGAAAAGCAGCCTGTAATAGTGGGGTCCCGCTCCAGCATTGGTCTCAAACTGAATTTCTGATTTAATGAAGTTTGAATTCAGACCTGGACATTTTTTCTGGAGCTTCAAACTTCATGGACTGCAACTTTGTAACAGAAACCAGAAATATTTAGGTAGATTTCCCACTAGTTCTAGAGGCAACTGATGGCTCAGAGTTGGCCTCTTACTAAGTTATTCACAAACTCCCTATGGTAAGAAAGAATGTGGGAGGACACGAGAAAATTTCCTTCCATGTGATTCACTTACCTTGCCCATGGTCTTGACATTTCAAAGGCTTTGCTGGCAACAAATACATCAATTCAGAGAGCATCCTTTGAAAGGATTATGGGCAACAGCAAGTAAGACATAAAGAGAAAGATGACCCAGTCTTGTTGGTGAAATGCAGTAGAGACTTCTTTAACCTAGTCACAGAAGAAGTGTGTTAAAACCTTGGACCTGGAAGCACTCCTGTTTCAGGAAAAGACAAAACGGGGACTCAGAGATGAAGTGCAAGGTCATAGTTTTGGGTAGGCTCTTTGGGTTTAGAAGTCAGCTCAAGTAACCAGGAGTGAAGAGGGATGAAGGTTCAAGAAAGGAGATAATTCTGAAGATACACAATGGGGAAATAAAAAAGCAATCTCACAATTCACCTGTACTGGAGCTGGAAACCCACAAGGCACCGTCACAGCAGCTCTCGGGCAGATTTCTCTCGTTGAGCTTATTCCTGGCATCGTTGCCTCTCTCACAGCCCCGATCTATCTCATAGCTCCTACTCCACTGCATCCTTTCTGTTTCTGCTCCTGCAGTTGACTCCGAGGTTCTCAGTATATCCTAGTTCACCAAGGCTCTGAACTAGCTGTCTGCCTCAGTTATTATTTTCCAGTACTAATGTTCAGGGTCATCAGGGAGCTTATTGATAGGGTACCCTTGAATAAAGTGTCCATAGTTGTCACTTGAAGTGTGTCACAACAGAGGAGAGAAACATAGTATAAAATGGCTCTGTACATGTGGCGTATTAGCAGGACCAGTTTCCCCAGAGCTGAGTAGGGCTGGGTGGGCATGAGTCTTCACTACGATGTTAAGGCAAGGTCCTTCATCTCCAGGCTGCCAGACCTTCTGATGATGTGGAGACCCCTGTGTAAGCTCCAGGTCCATGAACTTGTGGGAGAATTTATACCTACTGAATACCTATGGCCATTCAAACAATGAGAGAAAAAAAAATCCCATCATTAACAATGATGTTAATCTTCCAGTTTCACAGAAATTAAACCACGGGATTCCTGAGGAAATAATAAGCCAGGCAAAGCAACAAATGGAGCCCATCTGCCCCTGGAACCCAGGGACCTGAACATACAGACCACTCTTTGGCCTTAACCTAAGCTGCTGCTCTCCAAGGGCACTGGGCAGCCTTTGCAGGAAGTCCGCTTCTGAGCTGGCTAGTCTTTCTGTCCTTCAGTGACAACTTCTATGGAGTTTAGGCACTAATTTTCTAGTTCTTACTGCCCTGGGCCATGGCTTGTATGAGTTATGGCCAATTTCTGCATCCAGACACCCACCTCAACATAACCTAACAAAGCCCGAATCACCTAAAAGTCTAGCTTCACATGATTTGTCCATATACATTTCCAATATGGCATGATTACTCCCAAATTATGTAGACTAGGATGTGATAAAATATTTAAACTTAACCCTTAGTAAGGGATGAAAAATGAAATAGAAGTTATTGTTTATTTAAAGTTTACTACACATATTGGGTACTTTATCCATTATTTGTTTCATATTTACAACTTACCCTATGAGGTACCATTCTCTCCATTTTACACAGAAAGGAACTGAGACTGAGCAATTAGGTGGCTTCCTCAAGGTCCCCAGGTAGTAGGTGCAGAGGCAAGGTTTTAACTCGGGTTTTGTCTGCCTCCAAAGCCCCATCTTTCCACTTACACAATGCTGCTCCCTTCGAGTGGGTTTAATCGGTGAAAGGAGCCCATAAATACGGAATCAATCAGCTTTGTAAAAGTGAGTTGAGTAACGTTTTAGCCTCATTTTCAGGAGTGGCTGAGCAAGGAGGCACTTGGTCAACTGTGACAGACACATGTAGGGCCTACCAGGGCACTGTGAAGAATACTGTAAACAACTATCAACCCCCCCACACACACCCAATGTTAGAAATGACTTAAAAATCAGATCGTAGCTCAAAAAAATTAATAGTTAAACTTTATTGTTCATTAAAAATGAACTTTCTAAAATATTAGTAAATCTCATTTTTAGCTCTGTTTTGAAGTGCTGATACCAGTGAAGTAACATTTTTCTTCTTTGAATTTTTTCCTGTAAAATTATAGTTTTCTCTTTTTCTAGAACAATGGGAAGTTCCTTCCAGTTCTTAATAAAGATAAAGGGGGCGCCCATGGACTTGAGTAACCGCAGAGGAGCACTGTGGGAAACAGAGGTATTTCCGCAGCCGCCCGCTGTCATTACGTCCTCCACCACGGGGACGGAGCCGTAGGAGCAGGCCTCATATATCCTGTAACACTCCGTGTTTACTCCTGCTGGGCACAGTGTGAGGTCACTCTGCAGCAAAGCTTCTTGATAATTCTTAAGGCTTTCATTTGTTTCTTGGGGCTGCCACCTAGAAAATCAGAAAAATGACTGTAGTTTTCACCTTACTAAGCATACCTTTTGTGAAAGAAAAGATTTTATCTTTTAATATCAGGCAATGATAAACCCATCATAGAGACAACAGGCAGATAAGATAAATGAAATCTTGCCCAAATAGATTTCTTGAGAATATTTCAGATTTTGAAAAGTTTACAGCTACACATTTTAAAATCCAGTGGTCACCATAAAACTCCTGAATGAATGTTAATTCAGCCGATATTTTCTGAGTCCAGATCTTCTCTCTCTCCCTCACCCTCCAAAACTCCTGCCCCCCTCAGAGCTTACAGTCCAGATCTAGTGGGTAAAGACAGGTAGCAACCAAGTCAAGTCAGTAAATTATTTTTAGAAGGTGTTAAGCGCTGTCAGGAAAAACGAAGCAGAGTGAGGAGGGAGTTTCTGAGGAAATAGGGTTGCGATTTGAAAATAGGTGATCGGGGAATATTTTATTACAGGGGCATCTGAGCACCGAGCTGGAGGTGAGGGAGTAAAACATGCAAATATCTGGGGTGGGGTGGAGGGTGAACAGAGTATAGAGAAAGCACAAAGGCCACGAGACGGCATGTCCTGCACGCTCCGTGGACAGCAGGGAAACCAGTGTGGCTGAGGGGAGTGGCTCCGGGTGAGGTCAGAGGATCCTGTCATGCAGGGTTTGGATCACAGGGTGACTGACCTCATGTATGTTTATCAAAGTCATTCTGGCTGTTGTGTTAACAACAGACTAAGGGGGCAAGGGCAGAGGCTGAGACACCCGTCAGAAAGCTAGATGTTCTCTCCTGACTGCTCCTGTGTTCTCAGTGAAATGACCAGTAGGGTCATGAGGTAAGAGTGGTTTGGAAGAGAGAACAAGGTATAAAACAGTCTTCTAGAAGAGCGGAAGAATACAGAGAAGGGAAATGGATGACTGGTGGGCACCTGAGGGCCAAGGTCATGCATTAAAAGTGAAATCGACTGGCAGCTTTGTCCATGTGTGTTTGGTTGCATGGGTACAGGTATGGGGCAGGTGAGAGCTGGATTTAAGCAGAGTTAGGGTTTGCTAGATCAGGGAACTGGGAAGGGGAATGTATATCCAGTCACGACTGACTACGACGTGTCATGGGGTAAAGAAGAGAATAATGAGGTGAGCAAAATGACAATGAAAAGGGAGCAGGCACAATAGGCTCTAAGTCCCAGCTACATTTCAGGAGATTATTATAGGGAACAATGGTTATGGGAAATTACAGGAAATGGTGGTTATAGAGAGAGATGCTGGAACTTGAGGTTGTGGAGGAGAAGCAGTACGTGTATGAATAAAGTCTAGAAATAAAAAGCATGACCGTAAATAGCTGAGGTCAAGTGGAGACCGGATCACAGAGGAGAGGAGGTAAAGGAACTGCAAGGCCAAGGTGATGGAAGGACCATCCGTGCAGATCTGGATCACCACAGTGAGACCGGAGTAATGTCAGAGAGGGAGAGTGCCAGGAACGAAATTCTTCAAAGAATTAAGGAGATAAAACCCTGGAGGGTCAGAGTACGACTTCAGAGAGGAAGAGGAATGGATGGTTTTGTCTAGCATAAGATTCAAGACTGGAGGCTTCAGGGAGGGAAAAGGGAGATGGTCTGGGAGCAGCAACGAGAAGCAAGGAGGACACTTACTTGACGATCTCCTGGCCTACTGCTATGAGAAGAACTGCGGGAATGATGCTATTGCCACAAAAAACATTGTCATTTTAGACTATCCTCACTCGTTCCATGCCAGGCACACTGTCCCTTGTTGCTCCTCAACCATAAGCGTGCTTCTGCCTTAGGCTCTTTCCCTTTGCCCTTCCCTCGGCCTGGACTACTCTTCTCCCAGACACACACGAGGCTCACCCCTGCACCTTCTTCAAGCCTGTGCTTAAATGTAACCTCTTACCAGCACTTGTCCTGGCCATTCTCAAACAGCAAAGGTTCTACCCATGATCCCTGGTCCTCTCTACTTCACTCTTCTGCTCATTTTTTTTTACGTGGCATTTATCACCTTCTGACACACAATACATTTTATTGGTTTGTTCCCTCCCACAAGCGTCTAAATTCTAAGAGGGTATGCACTATGATCGTTTTGTTCACTGCTATCCCTCAGAGCTAAAACAGTTTGGGGCACAGACAGTTGCTTGATAAATATTTGTTGACTGAATGGAAAAAATATGGTTACACAAATGGCAGAGCTGGGAGTTATGTTTTCTAGAAGAGAGTATCTGCTACAATGAATACATTTCTAGATGTAGAAGGACACCTTTTAGCCATTAGTTCTCTGATGGCTCTGCTTCATACACACAAACTGCATTTGACTTTTTAAAGACAAAATAATTCCAAAATTTCTTCTTTCACTTCATGAAGACCTGTTTCATGATGACCATGTAAAAAGAAATGAAAGAAAGTCAGTCCTATCAAATTAATGCACGCACGTATCCATCCACTGCCCCACTTAGCCTGGCCTCCTTTATGCAAGGTCTTATAGTGACCCGGGGGTCTGAAGAACAGTAAGTGGCCCCTGTCCCCAGGGTGATGCCAGGCTCCTGGAGCTGTGAGGAGTACTCCATGCCATTATTGGAACACTGACCTGGTCTGCAGAACATCTCAGGATGAAAATAAGACCTTACTGGCATATTCACAGTTTCCTGTGTGTCAAGTCTGACTAGCAAATATTGAGCAAGCCCCAGACTGGTGTTTGCAGTCACTAGTGTTCTTCTTCAAGATGTACTATAGCTATAGCAGACTCTCCCTGTTTTAAACATATACAACCCCAGTTCTTCATAGCTTTAATTTCCAATCCATCTCCTGGGGAAGGACTGATACACTCGAAAGTGGAGTTAACAATGTTTCTTTGGAAGCCTGTGCTGCCACATAAAACACCTCTCAGCCTAGAGAACAAAGTGAATGAATCAAGTGACTTACTGTTCTCTTACTGAAACCCAACAAAGCTTATCAATTTCATGTTGTTTCAAAATGTTCATTAGTGCTTGTCTGGATGAATTCTCATAAATAGTTCCTAAGAAATTACATAAGTAGGGTCTTTCGTTATGCAGCATTGACCAACTTGCCTCCACCACAGGAAAATTCCTGTATCTATAAAAAACAAGCACATATGAGTTAGTAATACGTGACAAGAGAATTGGCAAAATTCCCATAACCTGACATCTTAGCATGATGATGTAGAAAGAAGAGATCTAAATTATGACTTTCTAAATCCCAAACTGTAATTTTCCATGCTTACTTTGGAAAAGTCCTAGAATTACTGATTTAAAAAAAAAGATCTCACAATGACATGTTTTACAAAATTGCTATAGAGATTGTGTGCCAAAGTGCCTTGTTTTTTATATTCCTCAACTTCTATTATACACCTGTAGTTGTAAGGCAGGTTGAATTGAAGACCTTAAATGTATAGATAACCTGCTACATTCACACAAAACTTAGGCTCTGAGGGTAAAGTGGTGAATGAAAAGAGACAAAAATCCCTGCCATCAGGAAGTTAACGTACAGTGGCAACCCTTTTTAAAGCCAACTTACTCTTAATAATAAAAAACCTCTCCATTAACAGAAAGATTAATCAGTTTTTCATTTTAAAGACCTTATATATGACATATTGAGAAATCTTAGTTATGAATTAATTCCTTTTTAAAATAGAAATTTGGGCAAATTCACCTAGTCTTGGTGGCAGATCTGATCATATTATTTGCTTCCAAGCCCAGTGTACAGTGTGCTTCTGACTTAACACTGCCTTTAAGGAAGGAAGGGTTTTTTTTTTATATACTATTAGTTATAGAGATTTTATAAAAACGGTTTTAAGAAGTCCTGTTTGTCTGCCATCCTCTGCTAGCCATCTCTTTACGGAACTGCTAATAAACATAAAAATTCATCCTATGCCTTGCAGTTTTAAAACACCAAACGGTAATGCATCTGCCTTCTTCGTAAAAGGCTAAATAAAATACTGTAAAAACATCATTATTATTACTGAAGCATGAGACCAAACCATATTTTTGTCCATGGAAAACACCGTACCTGGCTTCAGTGATCTCAAAAGAACCACATTCATTGCAAATTTAAAACACAATCTTCCTGTTCTTGAAATTCAGGTCTGAAAGTCTAGAGTCATGTCTAATATTTTTGTACTTACGTTGCTACTCCTAAAGGCCATTGAAAAACATCCATGTCATTAATCCAGGGGCTGTCATATATTATGAAAAGCAGCTCCACAAAGCCTCCATTTCTTTTGAGGAATTGCTTGATCCATTCATTGTTACAATGTTCATTTCCAAGCAAAACAACAGCAACATGCTGGATTTTTTGAGTTTGTACTAAATTTTGTACATAAAGTAACCACTGGGTGGCATAAAAGACCTTCGCTTTTTCTCTTCCATTTAAAATGAGTACCACATTATTCACATCAACGGAGAAGTACCCTGGGACTACAGAGGGGCCAGTGATGAAGCTGTCAAAAACAAAACAAAACAGGAGACAAACAAAAAAGTGAATAAAGATATTTGGCACCATGAGTTTCTAATCATTTTATATAAAATCTGCAGGGAGATTTCATCCATATTCTTTCTAGAATCATAATTCCTATAATATAAATTCTTTTGAACAAATTTGGATGATGGGGCTTTGCTGTAGATTAATCAGCTTTGGCTGTAGAGAGATCAGCTTGCAGATGATACTCAGAAATGTGGTACCCCCCCCTTTTTTAAACCACATTCAAAATAAGTGCTAGCTGGAATTTGAGCTTTAAGCAAAGAAAGACAGTTGAACATTGTTTAATCCTCTGTAGTATATACTGAAAAGGTGTTTAAACCAGAAGCTCCCACCCCCTTTATGGTGTGAGCTGCTGTTATACTGTCCATTTGAATGAAATGTCTGAATCAATGGATGGGAGAGTGTTGATAAATTAAGAAATGGAAGATGGCATTATAAACACTCCATGAAGGTTAACTCTCAAAAATATAGTATTAAAAAAAGCAAGTAGCAGAACACTCGTAAGATATAATTATGTAAATTTTAAAGTAAATTCAAAAAAATTATGCTTATATTCTAATATAGGTATAAATATAAACACTTGAGTGGGAAGATACACACCAAATTCATGACAGTGGTTGCCTCCAAGGAGGAAGAGAAAAGGGCCTGGGGAAACAGTACAAAAAGAGCTTCACTTTTATTGAAAGTATTTAATTTTTTTAAGAGAAAAGTTAAATATCTGAAGCAAATATGACACAGCTGGAATGTGTTATTCTGTGTGGTTGGTAAATGAGAATCTGCTATATGACACTCTGTTCTTTAAAGTATTAAAAAGCTGTCAAGAAATAGACATGTTTCATAACTAATATTTTCTTTCATCTTATGTGTTACTCAGAACAACCAATACCATTGAAATATTTTTAACTGATCTGTATTGAATATAAAAAATGCCACTTAATCTATCTTAAAATTAGCCACAATGGTCCTAGATTCTCTACAATCTGCTGAAACATTTCTTTATAATCTGCTAGATTTTTTAATCTTTAGTATAAATATCCTGAAATCCTGTTTTTATTGCTTGTAACTTAAGGAAATAAGGACTAACATTTATTAAATGCCTTTTATATACATGATACACAGGCACTTTGCACAGGTTATCATTTAACATCCATGACAGCTCCAGACTATATTAGTTCCTTGTTTGGCATTTGGGAAATCAGGCTGAAGTTGCTAAACCCATGATGGCAATGCTAAGTTTTAAAAAAAAATTTTTAAAGATTTCATTTATTTTTAGACAGAGGGGAAGGGAAGGAGAAAGAGAGGGAGAGAAACATCAATGTGTGGTCACCTCTTGAATACCCCCCACTGGGGACCTGGCTTGCAACCCAGCCACATGCTCTGACTGGGAAACCTTTGGTTTGCAGGCCCATGCTCAATCCACTGAGCTACACCAGCCAGAGCTAAATTAAAAAAAATTTTTTTCAATTAACATTGACATCTGATGTCTGTCTGGAAAAAATCCAACCACTGTTAATATAAAAAGAATGGTGTGCACAACATCACTGTAACCCAGCAGCCAGAGAGAGTGGACTGGAATATGCATGCATGAACAATGATGACTTTGCTGTACTAGTCAGTGGAGGTGGTACATGAGGTTGAGTGAACATGTGTACTGTGTGGCTGTTGCATTCAAAATGACTGAGTGAGTAGAGCGACAAATCTGCATCAAATTTTGTGTTAAGCTTAACATTCCTTTGCAGAAACTATTCGGATGATTCAGAAGTCCTCAGCTTTGGGCAACTGGTGACTGGCAGCTTCATCACAACAATGTGCCAGCTCATGTATCACATCTTGTGCAGTTTCTTAGTGAAACTTCAAATCACCTAAGAGACTCCGCTCCACTACAGCCCAGACTTGGTGCCCTGCGACTTTTGGCTTTTCCCAAAACTAAAATCACCTTTGAAAGAAATGACATTTCAGACCATTGATGAGATTCCAGAAAATACGATGGGGCAGCTGACGGTAACTGGGAGAACTATGTGATGTTGCAAGGCGCCCAATCTGAAGGGGACTGAGGCATCATTGTCCTATGTACAATGTTTCTTTTATCTTCTTCGATAAATGTCTGTTTTTCATATTACATGGCTGGATACTTTCTGGACAGACACCATCTATTATAATATTAGTTTCAGGGGTACAATATAGTGATCGTACATTTATATAACTAATGAAGTGTTCACTCTTAAAGTCTAGTACCCACCTGAAACCATACGTAGTTATTACAATGTTATTGACTCTATTCCTTATGCTGTACTTTACATCCCTGTGACTGTTTTCATAACTGACGATTTGTGCATCTTAATCCCTTCTCCCTTTTCAAACTTTCCCCTAACCTCCCTCCCATCTGGCTACCACCAATTTTTCTCCTTATAAGTTTCTGATTTGTTTTTTTAGATTCCACATATAAGGGAAATTATATGGTATTTGTCTTTTTCTGTCTGACTTATTTCACTTAGCATAATGCCCTCTAGGTCCATCCATGTTGTTGCAAATGCCACAATTTCACTTTTTATGGCTGAGTAATATTGCATTTTATATGTGTACTACTTGTTTATCCAGTTGTCTGCTGACGGACATTTAGGTTGCTTCCATATTCTTAGCTATTGTAAATAATGCTGCAATGAACGTAGGGATGCATATATCGTTTGGATTAGTGTTTCAGATTTCTTTGGATAAATACCCAGAAGCACACTATTTTCATAATGGCTAAACCAATCTGCAATCCTACAGTGCATGATGGTTCCCTTTTCTCCACATCTAGACCTACACCTGTTGTTTGTTAATTTATTGATATAGCCATTATGACAGGTGTGAGGTCATATCTCACTGTGGTTTTAATTTGCATTCCTCTGATGATTACTGACATTGAGCATGTTTTCATATGTCTATGGACCTTCTGTATGTCCTCTTGGGAGAAATGTCTATTAAGGTCCTCTGCCCATACTTAATCAAAGTGGGGTTTTTGGGTTTTTTTTCTGGTATTAAGTTGAATGAGTTCTTTATAAATTTTGGATGTCAAACCCTTACCAGATATATCATTGGCAAATATCTTTTCCCTTGCTAGGTTGCCTTTTTGTTTTGCTGATGGTTTCCTTCGCTGTGCAAAACCCTTTTAGCTTGATGTAGTGCCATTTGTTTATTTTTTGTTTCCCTCGTCTGAGGAGACATATCCAAAACAATATTAATAACAGTGATATCAAAGAGTTTACTGCCTAGGGGTTTTATGGTTTGGAGTCTTATATTTAAGTCTTTTTTGAGTTTATTCTCACCTATGATGTAAGAAAGTGATCTAGTTTCATCCTTTTGCATGTATATCTCCCATTTTCCCAATACCATTTATTAAAGAGACCATATCCCATTGTATAGTCTTGTCTTCTTTGTCAAATCCATGACCATAAAGGTGTGGATTTATTTCTGAGTGCTCTATTAACACTGAGTTTTGAATTAAAATCAGTCTAACTTCAGAGCTTAAGTTGCTCCCCCAACATTAGGCTTAACAAATACTATTACTTTAATAGTATTTAAATACTGTTAGTAGATATTAGTTTAAACACAAAACCTAAATATCTATTTTGCTTGTGTGTAAATATACTATATAAATTCTATGACAATATTCTACAATGATAATGAACTACAGGAATCAAAAGTATGCATTGAGTTTGCCTTGGAGAGAACCTAGAATTGCAGATGACTAATGATTCAGTGATCATTTTGTAATTTAAGAGAATCTGCAGAATCAAAGGAGCTAGAAAATGCTTTAGAAATGATGATGATGATAATTATGACAGATTTAAAATATTTATTATGGTAGTATATAAATACTCTTATTTAGAATTATAGGCGAGTATAATCTCTACAGAGTGAGAATTCTTCCAGCCCTCCTTCCCCAACCCAAGAGCAATTTTATGAAGGAAAAACGTAACATCAAGAGAGGTTGCGTGATTTGCATAAAGGTAGCAGTCACCAAACAGGCAATGGTAGAGATGGGACATGAACTTGGTTATTTGACAGTAAGCCCATACATACCATATGCCCAAACTATTTTAAAGAGTACCATATATATACTTGTTATTTTTTAAAAGACATGAAACATTTTACTATGGATAACACTGACAATTATCTAGTAATATTTCATTTTGATTTCTAACTACGTATGACATGAATGTACCTAAAAATATCTTCATCAGAATAGTTTATATGAGCATCTAATAATACCATGAGTCTTTAACTATGCCCTAAAAGATATATCTTTATGTTATTGCTTATCTTTGATATAATTGTTTTATTTATGTTTTAAAAAGTTTTTATTTTTTTATTTTTAGAGAGAGGGGAAGGGTGCGAGTAAGACAGGAAGAGCAACATCAATTGGTTGCCTCTTGCACACCCCCAATTGGGGAGCTGGACTACAACACACGCATGTGTCCTGACCAGGAATGGAATCTGCGACATTGCAGTTTGCAGGCGGACACTCAATCCACTGAGCCACAACAGCCAGGGCTGATATAATTGTTCTAACATATTATTTATAGGGTATGACTTTGAGGTATAAGCCATTTTTCAAATAATACATATCTATTGTTTTATATAAGCATGTAATAGATTATAAACACCTGTTCAGTGTTTTACAGTTCAATAAACACTAGCATAAGAGTACATGTTAAATGCTATATTAAGTGATACAGAATAAAATTGCTAAGGTAGTTCAAATGAAAGGGGAATCAGGGGAGCAAGGTAAAGGTTGAAATGTATTCCAGGAAATATAATTTGAACAAAGGCAGAGAAGCAGATAAGCTGGTGATCCAAGGGTGTATATGGAGAATGAGATTACATATGGGCAGCAGAACTAATTTAGATGGAGATTGGCAATGGGTTCTAAGGATAAAAGGAGGTAATGGTTGTAGAGCACTGAACACAATACTGGTCACAGAGCTTCTGCTCAATAAATATTAGTTACTACTCTGTGAAAAAGCAGGAAACAGTATCATATCTGCACTATTATCTTAATCACCTTATTTTTCGGACCATAAGACACACCTAAGTTTTAGAGGAGGAAAATAGGGGAAAAATTTTGGAAGCAAAAAATGTGGTAAAATATTTAATAACATAAATAACATAATATTTCACCAATGTAAATGTAAACAGAACTCAAGAGCAGCATTAACAACCATTATTCCTCCCAAATTGGGGGGTGGGAGAGGAGTGTGTCTCATAGTCCAAAAAATATGGTTTATAACAACGTACATGGAAAATATGCTTGCATACGGAAATTACAGGATTCTGAAGGCAGTCTTCAGGGATAAGCAAAGGCCATGGTGAGCAAGAACAAGATTCCTCTTAAGAAGTTAAAAATAAAGTTGCCTAATAAAATCAAACTGTAGGTCAACATATGATGGATCTAAATAGAGATAGGCAAAGTTCCTTTAAGAAACAGAATGGGTCCCAGGGTAGTTTGTAACCTATCTGAACATATTAACATAAAGAATATATCAATTTCAATAGCACAGCTATTGAAAATTGCAGGGACCAAAAAGGAGAGAACCTGAGATCTGCAGCATAAAACATTTAATAAAATGTTTGAATAATCACAAATTAAGACATGATTGGCCCAGTAAATTTTTTGGTTAGTGTTTTTTCAAGACCTGGTTTGAATGTTTCTTATTAAAGTTATCCTATGCGGGTATTTTATTTTGAAAGGTATAACAGTTTGTATAGTAAGGGGGAAAATGTATCCAAAATTAGTATTGCTTGTCTATATTTACTGGTACTTGAAGAATACTTTCAACTGCCCCCCAGCTTTTTCCTAATTACAATACTTAATTCCTCACTTTAACTTAAGTGATCTAATTCAGAAGCTTTTTCTTTTTGAATACCATGCATTGAAGTTAACCTGATGTTAAGAGTTTGCAATAAACAAATCAGCTTAAGTCATTTAATCATTTCAAGTGCATGCTGCATCCTATAAAAATAAGTTTGAGAAACTTATTTCATTAAGCTTTGCACCTTTTGTTATGCCACATGGATTCCCTTCTGTTTTGAATGGTTACTGAAAAGTTGTGAGTGAATGATTAGTTTATTTACATTCACTTGCAGCAATTACACAAGAATTTGAATTTTGTTGCATTTGGGTTTGTTCATTCCTGTAAATGATGGCACGAGTTATGTGAGACTTTCTGTCATGGCACCCAAAGTCACCATTTAGTCAGTCCTCTTTAAGGGTTTCAATAAAAATTGTTCACTCAAATTTTTTAAAAAAGAATATATCAGGAGGCACTGGTGAGGAGGTACGTGATGGAGAGATAGTAGACAATAATGGAAACACAGAAAAAGGAGAACTAAAAGGGAGGGAAATGTTGCAGTACCAATTTAATAACAGTAAAAACAATAAAACTAATAAAAACAAGACTTCAGGGGTGATTACTATGTGCCAGAGACTGTTCTAAGCAATATACAACTTTTAATTCATTTAATCTTCAAAACAACCCTGTGCTGTAGAATCTACTATTTGCCTCATTTTAAACTTAAGGAAATTCAAGCACAGAGAGGGTAAGAAACTTGCCCAGGGTCAGACAGCTGGTAAGAGGTAGAGCTAGAATGTGAACTGAGATATTTGGCTGTAAAGGCTGTGCCCTTACAGCTCAATCACACTGCGACACTGCTCAGAGGTGACAGGACTCCGTGAAGCTCTGTTCATGGTGCCCCACGTGTACATGTAGTCACATGCTGAGGGCAGACTGTATATTACTGATCCACTGGTGAACAATGAGTCATTTAGTCCCTTCTGAAACACATAGTTTGGAAGTGCTTTATGTTGTTATATTCCATATTTTGACTCCATATTTAATCAAACAAGCCTCAAATGACTGGGCATCAATTGCAGCCTGCCTATAAGAAAAGAATGTGCTGGTCAAGTCAATATAAGCGTGTGGACTGATAGTTCTATTCCATCCTAGTTATTTACTTGGTATTCCGGATTACATTCTTTGGGCCTACAAGTTGATAAGAATCAGCATTCATAAGCCTGTCAAGCCTGGAACACTAATGATGTCATTTTTATTTCTGCCTCAGAATTGTTGTGAGGCTAAAAGTAGATGAGATAAGCTCCTTGTAAACTTAAACATGTATTTAAACAAAATATATTACACCAATTTACAAGTACCCCGATAGGACTTAGAAATTTTTCCCATTTATTTGTTCAAGATGACCCATTACTTCTGATTCACTTTTCGTCAAATAATGATCAATGTGTTGAAACATTTAAGTTTGTTCTCATGTAGTTCAAGTCAACTCAAAACTTGCAATTTCATATTAATTTAGTGAAAATAGAAAAACTTATCCATATGATTTCACTCACATGTAAGACGCAACATGGAAAACAAATGAACGAACAAGAAAAACAAACAAAAACTCATAGACACAGGCAACGTACGGTGGTTACCAGAGGGAAGGGGTATGGGAAAGGTAAAGGGGGCCAAATACACAGCGATGGAAAATGATTTGACTTTGGTGGTGGACGCACAATGCAGTATACAGATCATGTATCATAGCCTTTATAATCTTGTTACCCAATGTCACCCCAATAAATTTAATTCAAAAAGAAAAAACTTTATTAACTTTGGATAATTAGGAACAGTATTTTTCATGAGCCTAAAATTTTAGTAAATTGTTTAAGAAAATCTGCTACAATAGTTAACTTCTTTGAATACACAGTTCTCTTAAATCCTAAGAGAATATAGCATTCCTATTTGATCATTGACATAAAATCTCAGGTAAAAATTTCAGAAGGAAAGACTGTCCTTTGGGAATTAATGCTGTTTGCTCAAATCCTTTAGTAACATTATAATAATAGTATATACTAACTTTTCTACACATTTCTAAGAATTTTTCTGAAAATTCTATATACTGTGGGTAGAACTATTAGACTACTATTCATAACACATTGACTTAAAATATCAAAATATTAGATATACATGCATAATACACATTTACTTTCAAATACACAAATCCGACTATTGTCAGTTAAGGACTATGTATAAACTCTTGAATGGAATTATCACTACAAGCCTGGAGATGAAAGGGAAAATAATCATTACCAATGATGATATGAAAAACCTATCTAGTTTTCAAGAATGATTACTTTGAAAATATTTATGCAATAAAATTGCTTTCTAAGTGTATATAAAGTAAATAAAAAATTAAAGATGCAGCAAAAATTCAAATAAAATTGAGATTAACTACAACATAACTTTTCCTCTTGATTTCTCTAATTAATGGAATCCTAATACAATACAGAGCCTTTGGTTCACATTTTTTTCCCTAATAATATAATTTTTACATAAAATAAACAATTTAAAATAATTATTTTTATTTTTTATTTCAATAAAAAGCAAAGTCTAATAGAAACATTCTTTCATAATAAAATTATAATTTTTCTAAATAAAATCTTAATTCTACCTATTAAAAATCTTTAGAAAATATGCCATCATAATTAAAGTTTTATTAAAATAAATGCTCAAAAAGTCTTAACAGTGCTTTGGTTTTATTGAGTGTAAAAAACAGATTTCTAGTATTGCAGTAAAATGGTAACTTACACTATTAAATCACTATAGAACTCATACATGAAATGTTTTAATAAATAAAAACTTTAAAACTCACCGCAAGAGCTTTTATACAACCTATTACTATAAAAATATGTGAACAAAACTATTATATGAAAGAGAAAAACTGAAAAAAAATTGAAGTTTATATATTATTCCTCTAAGATATAAAATGTTAAATGCTTTATCAACAAATAAATGTTATAAAATTTGGAACATGAATTTTTTCATGTAATCAGAAATGTTTATATAAAAACGAAACAGACAAAACTAAAAAAAGAGGAGTATTTGTACTTAATTACTTAAGAAAATGTTCAAGATAAGGTTTAACTATGAGTATGTATTCATAGTTAAGATTTATTTCTCTATTCTTTACAAGTTGAAGTGGAAATATTTTCTACAAATATAGATTCTTCTTATTTTCTTCTAGTACTGGCACAAAACACTATGGCAACACAGCAAAGGTCAAGGTTGTACAACAATACCTGTAGTGTGTTCTTCCTACAACTACATTTCCTTCTCTCCACTGAGCCGTCACATCAGTGGGATCGAGTAAGCCTTCGAAAATATGCTCCCAGAGATACAAACCTGGTAATTAAAAACAAAACAAAACATTTACTGTTTGGTCTACTCTGGTGTACGGGATGAGCTTATGTTCTGCTCTTTTATATCATGTGATTAGGAAACCAAACTTTTTCGTCTTGGTCCCTTGGCAGGCAGTGCTACCAAGCAATAGCTCAAAATCATGGCAGCTACAGCAGGACAGACAGAACTCAAGAGGCTGTCAGTGTGAAGTGTGGCAAAATGTGGGTGACAGACAATAACCTATCTTACTCTAAATATGAGAAATGCCTATTTATCATTGGACCTTTACTATCTATTTTATCCTAAATGTGCTGTAGTACTTTGTAAATTACTACAGTAAGTCCTCACTTAATGTCCTTGATACGTTCTGTGGCTTTAAGTGGATGGGCTTAAAACAAAACCAATTCTACTATAGGCTAATAGATATAAACAGGACTTAAGTTCCTAAGGAAGCTCATCAACATTACACTAAAACGACTTGAGTTAAAGGATGTGAGGACCTGCTGCATGTGATTAGAACTATTTCTATTTTGTATCAAACTGGGAGGATTCACTATTTTGTGTCAAACATAATCAGAGAAGCCCAGTATGTACATATCCCTTCAATGTCATGGAGCTATCACCTCCTTCTCACTTGAACACACATCTCTCACTGCTTGAAGCCCTCTGCAGACAAGTGCCATTGTACCTTTTCCCCTTAGGGCAGCCTTTGCTGTTTTACATGATTTCATTTGCATGGAAGCTCTGAGAGTAGAGGAAAGCAGTGTCACACAATGAAGAAATCTGGGAACCCTATTTTAGTTACACTGAAAGATGAGTTTTGTTTCATTCTCAAAAACATGTTTAAAGACTTGCCCGATGAGGTAAAGCTTTCTAATTACAGTAGGCTGAATGGTGGCTCCCGACTCTGAAAGGTCCAAGGATGTAGTATCAAGAACCTGTGAGTTACGTTACATGGCAAAAGAGACTTTCTCAATGTGCTTAAGTTAAGGATGCTCGGGTGGGGTGATTATCCTGGATCATCTGAGGCTCTTTGTAATCACAAGGGTCCTCACAAGAGGGAGGAAGGGTCAGAGTGAGGGAAGGAGATGTGAGGATGGGAGTAGAGGTCAGAGTGATACAGGGCAGTGAGTCAAGGAATGCAGGTAGCCTGCAGAAGCGGTAAGAGATTCTGATTCTCCTCTAGAGCCTCCAAAAGCAATACAGCCTTGTGGACACATTTTAGTCTTCTGCCTTCAGAAACATAAGATAATAAATTTGTACTGTGTTAAGCCATTACATTTTTGGTAATAGGGTATAGCTGCTACAGGAAATTACAGATTACGTAGTTATAGATTATGGGTACCTGGAAATGGGGTACCAATGTAATAAATATTTAAAATTCAGAAGTAGCTTTAGAATTAGGTATGGAAAGAGGCTGAAAAAATTTTAAGGATTATGAGGGGAAAAAAGCCTAGATTAGATAGCCTTGAACAAATTATAGGTAGAGATATGGATATTAATGACTCGGCCAGTAAGAACCCAGAAGAAAGTTCAGAGCACAGTAGGAAAAACCTGTATCATCCTAAGGAATACCTAAATCATAAGCTGGTAGAAATACGTATGTAAAAAGCATTGCTGGTGTGGGTTCAGGAAATGAGAACCATGATATTAAAAAAGGGAGAAAAGGGGATCCTGGTTATATGGTCATGTACCACATGATGGTATTTCAGCCAATGAGGGACTGCAGTATGTGATAAGATTACAGTGGGGCTGAAAAATTCCTATGCCTAGTGATTTTGTAAATTCATAGTACAACACATTACTCGTGTATTTGTAGTGATGCTGATGTAAACAAAGCTTCTGTGCTATGAGTCACAGAAAAGTACAGTACATACTTTACAGTAGTAGGATATACCATTTAGGTTTGTAATATTTGCACAAGGACAAAATTGCTTAATGACACATTTCTCAGAATATGTCCCTTTGTTCAGTGGCACATTCCTATATAACAGCAGAAAGCTTAGCTGAATTGTGTCCTGAAGTTATATGGAAAGATGGATTTGTAAACAATATACTTGGATATTTAGCTGAAGAGATTTCTAAGAAAAGTATGAAAGCTGTGGCCTAGTTTCTTCTTGCTGATTACAGTAAAACATAAAAGGAAAGTGAGATTGAGGGAAGAACTCTTATGTAAAAAAGGAAACAGTATTTGATGATTTGGGAAATTCTCAGCCTATCCAAATTGCAAAAGATGTGAGAATTTGGGAGATTCACTGTCAGGAAAGCATGTTCTTGAAGAAGGCCAAGGATGTGACTTGATATCCTTTTGGCCAGTGCCCCAGAAGACTAAAAAGGTCATATAGAGGGCTCTTGGAAGATATTAGATGTATAATTCATGGATCTTGTTCAGTAATGTTAGCAGAAGCCTGACGTAGAGAAGGGGTTGTCCAGGAAGACCTGTGGAGGAGCTCTTTTCTAACCCCCTGACACACACAGGAGACCCACAAGGTTCTTGAGAATATTGTCTCAGCAGAAACCCTGGCAGCTTGGACTACCAGGGACTGAGAGAGGTTGAAGTGAAGAAGGCTATCTTCAGGAAACAGACTGTAAAACTACTGATCTGAAAACACATTCTACCCTTCATAAAAAAGGAAGGATGACTTTGAAGGCAGAGCTGAAAGGCCAGAAGCAAAGCTTTGGGCCACGGATTATTCCCAGGCCTTGAAACCTAATGGAGTTTGTCTGGTTGGATTTCAAAATCGCTTGGACCAGTGACTCAATTTTACTTCCATTTCCTCCCTTTTAACGGGAATGTCTATAACTGTCTACAGAATGTCTATAATAGGTGCGCCTATTACTGTGCCTGAGGAATAGGTTGATGAAAGTAGAGTTTGACTAAATGCATACGGTCACTTTGTGCTTACTGATTGAAAAGAGGAAAGTCTAGAAATATTACAACTTGTTAAGATGCAGATTTAATTAACAACCAGAATGAGGAAATGATCATTTAAAAGCAAAAATTAATATTAGAGATTTTATAAAGAAAAAGTTGTTAGCAATTGATGATGGGAGGCCTGATTCCGGGTACCTGAAACTTAGAACTTAGTGGTAATCTTCAAGGACGTATATTTGCATGCAAGTGTGAATGAATTTATGAAACTCCATGGGCCAGCTTTGCCTTCTGTTTCCTTTCCTTTCCTCTGGTATTTTCTATCCATAGCCCTTACTGCCCAGAGAAACTGAACTCATATTTAAAGGCCAAATAAAGCCCCTTCTAATTCAATTCTTTCTGACTCTTCTAAGAATTGAGGGCTCCATTCTCTGAGCACAATATATAAACTTGGAATGCTAGGCTGCTCAGAGGAAAATGCTTTTGTGGGCAATTAAGTTTAATCAGCTACATACTATATGCCCTTCTTGGATACTGACAACAAATATTGGCCTACAAAAGGCTCTGAGAAATCAATAAAGAACCTGGTTTAACTTTGCGTAGTTCAATGTTTCCCAAACTTGTTTGGCCGTCAAAGGCAGTGGCCACAACTTATACCTGTGTATGAAGTATGAATAAACACAGACTCATGACAATTTAGTTGACATATGCATTTAACTCTAATAATGCTTACACAACCCATTCTTTGTATCGACAAATTAACTTGTGCTTGGCTAAAGACCCACAATAGAATGTATGTGCCGGTTTTTACACAGATATTGCCTAACGAAAAGGAGAAATGAAATACTGAAAATGCATTATTTTAATAAGTGATAAAATAAGCTATAAATGAATTTTTATTTTTATTTTTTTAAAGATTTTATTTTTATTTATCTTTAGAGGGGAAGGGAAGGAGAGAGGGAGAGAAACATCAATGTATGGTTGCCTTTCATGCATCCCCTGCTGGGAACTGGCCTGCAGGGAACCGGCCTGCAACCCGGGTATGTGCCCTGACTGGGAATCGAACCGCGATTGCCTGGTTCGCAGGCCTGCGCTCAATACACTGAGCTACACCAGCCAGGGCTATAACTGTATTAAAAGGAATTGAATCTACTATTAATAAAGTACATTTTGTGATGCTTTTCACATGTGTTAGCTATACACATTAACTCACCAATGGCAGCTTTGCCCCAGATTTGCACTCGAAAGTCTGTTTTCCCTTTTGTGGATTTATTTAATATTTGAAGGCTAGTTTTAAATCTGTGTTGTTGCTCCTGTTTTTCATCTTCTTCCCAAGGATTCCATTCTTCACTTCCCAAAGTAGATGGTTCTGTGTTTTAAAAAGAGTTAACAGTGTTTGTTAGTAAGGTAGAGCTGGAGTTATAAATTCAAGCCATTTAAATTAGATATTAGAGCGTTCTAATTTCGCCCTAACTTTAATTTTTCAAAGAGGCAATGCAACAGAATTTGGATTGGTTAAACATTTTTTTTTTTAAAAAAGGAAATCAGATTCTAATTTTTATTAACCCTTTACTCTGAAAGATCTGAAGAGATAAAATTATCTCTCCCAAACAAAAGCCTTCTAAAATAACTGGATAATATATATCAAGTTACAAGTTTAACTTTTGCACTTCATTATAGGATGTATATATGTAACCTATACACAAAAATTGGATTTAAGAATAATATGTCCAACGGTTTTACATACTATTGTGCAAAATTCTGAAAGTCTGCCCCATCCTGACGTAGGTCAAAATACAGGCCAGGGGATCAGTACTTGGAGGTAAAGCGTCCTGGCCTTCCGACATCGCTGCGTGATTACAGGAGGCTCTTTGTTTCAATATGGAAAAAGGTGTCTCACACTCAGCAGCTTTCCCGCGAATCTCTGGCATTTTCTGCCAACGTCTGGTATGTTTAAGACAAGTTTCAAAGGTGTGCGGGTCTGTTCGCTTTGAGGGTACTAAGTAGGGACAGCGTGTGGCACTCGGGCAGCACCGAGGTACTCATACACCCCCCAGTCCCGCGCCCAGGGCAGGTTACGCAGAGCTGGAGCAGGAAAAGCGAACCGCCGGGCCCCAGCGCAGCCCCGGCCCCGAGAGCGGATCCCCGGCCCCGCGGCTTGGCTCCGCCCGGCCCCCACCAACCCGCACCGCTCGCGCTCCAGCGCGTACCCAGGCCACTGCTCTGTGTCCTACCTCGGCCGCGCCCCTCCCGCGCCGGGGCCGCCCCCTTCCTAGGGCTCCGCAAAGACGCGGCCGGTGCCCGGCGGCGGCGCCCGAAAAAGACGTGGTACGCGGCGTAGAGAGAGAAGAGGCAGTATAAGGCGATGAGAAACGAGCACAGCCGTTTCCGCGTCAGCCGCATCCCACTCAGGCTTCCCGTCAGGCCACCGACGCCCTGGAGCGGGGCCGGAGAAAATGCTCCGACTCAGCGCCCCGGCCCCAGGGGCATCCGGGACAGGCCCCGGCGCTAGCGGAGGGAATCATCAGAATTGGCCCGCCTTTTACGCCCCGCCCAGGCCTCGCCCGCTGCATGTTCCTCCCTCCCAGGTCAGTGCCCGGCTCAGGCCCCGCCCACATCCCCGCCCCCAGCGTCTCCCAAGCCCCTCCTATAGCTCTTCCCCAGGCGGGCACTGACACCCGGCTAGTCGTTGGTTCCAGATTTGGGCTTTGGAAGACTGCCCAATTGAAGGCACAGATCGTGTCAATTTTTGTTTAACATATAATCCCCAGGGTTCAGGATAGGGCTCGCAGTGCTGACAGATGAATGAATATAAACATCCATTAAAAAAATTATGTGGTCATTGAGGCAAATATTGTGAAAGTGATTAATGTCTCTCGGAAATAATTAGAATGGTAAACTTTGTGATATATACACCTTACCATAATAAAAATATTTTAAAGGACATTTTATTATGTTATTAAGTTGTACCAATTTTTCCTCCTTTGCTCCCCTCTGCTGGTACCCCCGTTCCCCTCCAGCAATCTTCTCCCTTAGTTCATGTCCATGGGTTAGATATATAAGTTCTTTGGCTTCTCCGTGTCCTATACTAGTTTTAACACCCTTCTATCTATCTTGTACCCACCAATTATGATTTTTAATACCTGCACCTTTTCTCCCATTCTCCACATTCCTCTTCCCCACTGATAACCCTCCAAATGATCTCCATACCTATTTCTATTTCTGTTCTGGTTGTTAGCTCAGTTTGTTTATTCATTTGTTTGTTGTAGATTCAGTTTTTGATAGTTATGAATATGTTGCCTTTTTAATTTTAATAGTTTTGATCTTCTTTTGCTTAAATAAGCCCCTTTAACACTTCATGTAATAATGTCTTGGTGATGATGAACTCCTTTAACTTTACCTTGTCTGGAAAGCACTTTATCTGCCTTTCCATTCTAAATAATAGCTTTTCTAGGTAGCATAATCTAGGTTTTATGTCCTTACTTTTAAAAAAATTTTTATTTTATTGATCATGCCATTACAGTTGTTCTATTCCCCCCTTCATTCCCCTCCGCCCTGCACACCCCTCCCCCACCATTCCCCCCCTTTAGTTTGTGACCATGTGTCTCAAGTTCTTTAGATTCTATATTTCCCATACTATTCTTGCCCTCCCCCTATCTATTTTCTACCTACCGTCTATGTCACTTATTTTCTGTACCTTCTCCCTACTTCTCCTTCTCTCACTCCCCTTTTGCTAACCCTCCACATGCTCTTCATTTCTATGGTTCTGCTCCTGATCTAGCTGTCCTTTTAGCTTGCTTTTGTTTTAGATGTGGTTGTTAATAACTGTGCGTTTGCTGTCCTTTCACTGTTCGTCTTTTTTATCTTCTTTTTCTTAGGTAAGTCCCTTTAACATTTGATATAATAAGGGCTTGGTGATGATGAACTCCTTGAATTTGATCTTATCTGAGAAGCACTTTATCTGCCCTTCCATTCTAAATGAAAACTTTGCTGGATAGAGCAATCTTGGTTGTAGGTCTTTGGATTTCATGACTTGGAATACCTCTTTCCAGTCCCTTCTTGCCTGTAAGGTCTCTTTTCAGAAATCTGCTGACAATCTGATGGGGACTCCTTTGTAGGTGACTGTCCCCTTAGCTCTTGCTGCTTCTAGGATTCTCTCTTTCATTTTAATCTTGGCTAATATAATGATGATGTGCCTTGGTGTGTTTCTTCTTGGGTCCAACTTCTTTGGGACTCTCTGAGCTTCCTGGATTTCCTGGAAGTCTATTGCCTTTGCCAGATTGGGGAAATTCTCCTTTATTATTTGTTCAAGTAAATTTTCCATTGGTGGCTGTTCCCTTCCCCCTTCTGGTACCCCTGTAATTCGGATGTTGGAGCGTTTAAAGATGTCCTGGAGGTTCCTAAATCTCTCCTCATTTTTTTGAATTCTTGTTTCTTTATTCTTTTCTGGTTGGACCTCCTTCTGGTCCACTCCTTTGATTTGAGTCCCAATTTCCTTTCCATTACTATTGGTTTCCTGTGCATTGCCATTCATTTCAATTAGTTTAGCCTTCATATGTGACTAAAATTTTAGTCACAAATTAGTTTAGCCTCTAATTTGTGACTAAAATCAACCAGTTCTGTGAGTATCCTGATCACCATTGTTTTGAATTGTGCATCTGAAAGTTTTGCTATTTCTTTGTCACTTAGATTTATGGGCTCTGGGGCTTTGAGATCTTCTTGAGCCATTTTTGGTCTGTTCGCGCCCATTAAGTATGAGGAGTGGAAACTTAGGGGCGGGGCGGGGCTTCCAGGGTGGAGTCGCTGGGTTGTGACGCTGTATATGGTGGCGGGGTCAGAGTGGGGAAATGGCGCCCCCCTCTCCTGCTTCCTGCCCCTGAGTGAGGCGCGAAGCCTTATATGTTCACCAGGGCAGGGTTGCTCAGGTCGCTGGGTTGTGATGCTGTATGTGGGGGCGGGGTCAGAGCCGGGAAATGGCGGCCGTCTCTGCTGCCTCCGGTCGCTGGGACCCGCTCAGTCTCGTCTTGCTTCCCACTCCCTTGCTGGTCTATCTGTGCAGGAATGCGCCAGCACAGTCAACCCGCTGCCCTTCACCCTTCCCGGATCCGCAGGTTACTCACTGGGTCACGCTCACCAGGTCGCTCACTGGGTCCCCCTGCGTTGCAACCCCACGCCTGGGATCCGCGTGCCTGAGTTCGTCTGATCGAGTTTTCCTGTGCAGCCCCGCACCACCGGCTGCTGGTTTCGCCCCTCTTACCGGTGAGGCTGAAGAATTTGTTATCAGACTTCCGAAAAGTTCTGTTTTCTGTGTTCTGGCTGTGTTTTCTGTTGCTAATATTTTATTGTCTCTAAACTTGGTTGTGTGAGAAAGCACGGCATCTCCACCTATGCCTCCATCTTGGCGGAAGTCTTCTGTACTTACTTTTTATTATTTTGAATGTGTCTTGCCCGTCCCTTCTTACCTGAAAAATTCCTTTTGAGAAATCAGCTGATTTCTTGTGGGAACTCCTTTGAAGGCAAATCTCCACTTTTCTCTTGCTGCTTTTAAGATTCTCTCTTTATCTTTAACCTTTGGCATTTTAATTATGTTGTGTCTTGGTGCGGTCCTCTTTGGATCCAACTTATTTGGTACTCTCTGTGCTTCCTGGACTTGTATGTCTCTTTCCTTCACCAAATTAAGGACGTTTTCTTTCACTATTTTTTAAAATAAGGTTTTAATTTCTTGCTCTTCCTCTTCTCCTTCTGGCATCCCTAAGATTTGGATGTTGACATGTTTGGAGATGTCCCAGGGTCTTCTTATACTATCTTCATTTTTTTGTTTTTGTTTTTGTTTTAATTCTTATTTCTTCTTTCTGTTCTGGTTGAATGTTTATTTCTTCCTTATTTTCCAAATTATTGATTTGAACCCTTGTTGCCTTCCCTTCACTGATGGTTCCCTATAGATTTTTCTTTATTTCTTTTAGTGTAACCTTCATTTCTTCCTTTATCTTGTTGCTGTACTCAGTGAATTCTCTGAGCATCCTGATCACCATTGTTTTGAACTCTGCATCTGATAGGTTGGCTGTCTCTGTTTTGTTTAGTTCTTTTCTGGGGTTTTGTTCTGTTCTTTCATTTGGGCCACATTTCTTTTTCTCCTCAATTTGGCAGCCTCCCTGTGTTTGTTTCTGTGTATTAGGTAGAACTGCTTTGACTCCCAAATTGGGCTACAATTTTTTGTTACTTGTGTCCAATATTGTTCAATTCGTCTGGCAGTCCTTATAGCCAGAGAGCTTCTGGGACAGGTGTGCAATAGCCATTAGAATAGTTGCTGTGCCCTGACTGATTCAACTCTCTACCCTGATGCAGAGTTCTCAATAGTTTTGGATAAAGTTTCCATCCCCTCTATTAGCAAAAGTTTGTGTTTCCTGAATTTGATGCTCTTAAGGTCAGGTCTCTGTCTTTCAAAGTGACATCATGGGTAATTTAATAAGGAGAGTTTTATAACTGGAAGGAAATTTAAGTCCAGAGAGGTGAAGTGACTTGATCAAAATTGTTTACTTTGTTAGTGGCTGTGCTGGGACTAGAATCTCTGCATCTGCTTCTTAGTCCCATGTTCTTGACAGTATAATAGCTACGTCCTTGCTCCTCATCTCATCCTGTTTTTTTCTTTTTTTGTTTTTTTTTTTTTGGCTTAATATCAGTTACTAGTAATGAACTCAAATTACGTTTGGTGAAATTATCTTCCATGTTTACAAAAGGAAGAACTATTAATTATTTAATCATTAGGGTCCAATATTGATAAGCCCTAATGCATATGGTTAGTTGCATAGAAACAGTACACATTTATTAGAAGTCCACAAGTACAAATTTCTTGTGATATCTGGCCAAAATTCTTTCCTGAATTTAGCAAGGTTTCAGTAATACCGTAGAAGTGTATTAACTATTTTGGGAGATTTTTCACAGCTTGGCCACAAGCCTTTGTTTCAAACTATTTGTAAGATACTTCTAGTATGGTTTGGCCACCTAACAACCAATAAGTCATTAAATAGATCTTAATAAATTTATAAAAGTTATTCTCAATAAGATACATTTTTCTTTTTTATATAATTATGATGGTGACAAAAATAAACTACAGAAATTTATTGACCTTAAGAAATAGTAAGCAAATTGTAATTTTTTTTTAATGACTAACCAAACAACAAATAGCCAAACAAACAAAACTAGAATACAAAGGTTGGTGATGACAGAACCAAGAGGCGAAATTGAAGCTATATGAGTAAAAGCAGATCTGTGCAAATGTCACTTCTGTCAATCTTTCTCTCGTTTATGCCCCACCCCCATGGCCTTTAAGCTCTATGCACAATTTCATCATTGCTGTAACATTTCATCACAATTTTTTGTTTATTTATTCCTTGTGATCCACCAATTTTAATCAAAATCTGTTTAGGATGATTACTTTTATATAATAAATGTTGTAGGTATCTGTGGACCCTGTCTTACTACTACAAGCCCTCTGGGTGGGTATCATTCTGGGTGATAACCACAGAGAGTGATTCATGACATT